GAGGCAGGAGACTCGCTTGAGCCCAGGAGTTGGAGGTTGCTGTGAGCGTGATGCCATGGCACTCTACACAGGGGGATAGCTTGAGGCTCTGTCTCAAAAAAAAAAAAAAAAAAAGATTCCAATTCAGTAGGCCTGCAGTGGGTTCTGGGCATCTGTAGTTTAAAGAGGCATCCTGGGTGATTCTGAGGACAGCCTGGTTGAGAACTGCTTCTAATGCATCCGTTCAGCCTGCCAGCCAGTGAGTCTGCAAACGCCAGGCATAGTCTCTGTACCACACCCCTGCCGTGAGAGAGCAGGCAGGATAGGACCTACCTGGCTTTATTCCATTATCAGAGTCCATTTGTCATCCCTTTTGAAACAGGCTTCATTTCTCCCGTAAACCTTCATAATGGCCACTTCCATGCTTAGCAGATCTCTGAGCAGGAAAAGATCCAAGAAATCAAGTTCAGCCAGGTCCTTCTTATACATACAGGGTGATGAGCCACCCAGAAAAGCAGAGAGAAGTGGGTCTCCTTTCTCCCAAACCAGTGCTCTTTGACACCAAAGATAGCCTGATTCTGCTTCTTGCTTGTGCTCATTATTCTGATTCCCTTGACTGAGTCCCTCTCAGTCCCAGGAAACCCAGATAGGGTCATAGTTAATCATGGGTGTGGAGTAAAACAGGTCTGAGTTTGAATCCTGACTCCCCTACTACCTAGCCATATGGGCTTGGGGAAGTGATTTCACATCTCTGAGCCTCCACATTCTCATCTGTAAAATGGAGTTGGTAATAATGTTATTATCTGCCTCCCAGGGCCATTGTAAAATAAAATGTGAGGGCCAGGTGCAGTGGCTCAGCCTGTAACCCTAGCAGTCTGGGAGGCTAAGGTGGGGGGATCTCTTGAACTCAGGAATTCAAGACCAGCCTGAGCAAGAGCAAGAGTCTCTACTAAAAAATAGAAAATCTAGCCAGGCATTATGATGGGTGCCTGTACTCCCAGCTACCCGGGAGGCTGAGGCAAGGGGATTGCTCAAGCCCAAAAGTTTGAGGTTGCAGTGAGCTATGATGATACCATAGCACTCTACCCAGGGCAACTGAGTGAGACTCTGTCTCAAAATTAAATAAATAAAATAATTTTAAAAATAAAATAAAATGTGATACATTGCTTGTTACTTTGGCGATTGTTACACATTCCCTGGCTCTCTTAATCACCAGCTAATATGGATGTCCTGAGAGAGGGGAGGGCTTCCCTCGTAATCTGTGTCTTGTAGGGTCAACTCCTGCAGCCAGCTACGAGGAGGAGGAGCTCCCCCCAGACCCCGGTGAAGAGACGCTCACCATAGAAGCCCGATTCCAGCCTCTGCTCCCAGAGACCATGACCAAGAGCAAAGATGGGTTCCTAGGGGTGAGTTCAGGGGGGCGGTGGTCTCATGGGTGGGAGCACATCTGCAGGATCATCTGCAAGCACTTGCCTCCTGAAGGCAGGTCTGTGCTCTGTTCTTCTGTCCTTCCTCCATCAGCTTCCCTCTGTGTGCCCACTGAGCCAGGCCCCATGCCAGGCCCTAGGGTCCAGGTGGGCATGAGGCCATCCCTGCTGTCCAGGCACACAGTTGGGGTGGGGGGAGCAGGAGAGAGATGCATTCGCCTCCAACCCAGATGGGGTATCTAGGGTGGTTTCCTGGAGGAAGAGACATCTGACAGACTATAGGGTGAGGAGGGCTCAGCCAGTGACCAACAGCAGGGGTAGGAGGCTTCTGACCGGAGGAAATTGCAAGGGAGACCCTGTTAACACAGCTGTACTTCCATCTTCCCCTCAGCTCCTGGCCTCTGACACGATGCCTGACCCCTGAAAGATGCTCTTTTGAACTGGCGATGAACTAGACCTGAGATCTGGTCCCTGGCAGGGGCTATAGGGTGGGGGAGGGATCTTGAGAAGGTGGAGGTGGGAGATGAACAAATGCTATTATTGCCAGCCCCTCCCTCACCCAAGGCCCTGCAGCCCATCACTGTAGGCACCTGAGACCCTGCCTGCCTCTGTGCACCCTCCTGCCCCCCCCCCTCAGCTGTCTCTCTTCGCACCATATCAGACAGCCATCCTTTCTTCCAAATCACTGGCCTTCTTTCACCTCTGAGCCTCCTCATATGCTGTTTCCTCTGCCAGTTTCTCTTTGCATAGCCCACCCTGACTCAGCTAAGACTTGTCTTCAGTGTGAACACAGTCCTGAAGGCAGGAAGTGCCCAGCCAGATTGCTGGTTTGGCTGGACCCAGGTCATGTGGGACATGCAGGGGCATCCCAGTCAGTGGGGCTGGCAGAACAGCTGCCAGATCACCACGGGCCTCACTGCCTGACTTTGGCCTTTATTCTGCAGCAGTAAAGTACCATAGCACTTTTATTTATTTATTTATTTATTTATTTTTAAATTTTATTTTATGACAGAATCTCACCCTGGGTAGAGTGCTATAGCATCATAGCTCACAGCAACCTCAAACTCTTGGGCTCAAGAGATCCTCTTGCCTCAGCCTTCCAAGTAGCTGGGACTATAGGTACCCACCACAACATCTGGCTAGCTTTTCTATTTTTAGTAGAGATGGGGTTTCATTCTTGCTCAGGCTGATCTCAAACTCCTGAGTTCAAGCAATCTGTCCATCTTGGCCTCCCAGAGTGTTAAGATCACAGGTATGAGTCACCGGGTCTGGCCAACCATAGCAGATATTTAGAAAAGAATTTCCTCATCAGATCAGGCTTTCCAGGCTGGCGGGGGAGTGGGGTGGGAGATGGGAAGAGTAGCATAGAGAGAAATGAGAGGCAAGAAGAGCAGTTCTGGCTTGGCTCCTATGGCTCAAGTGGCTAAGGCGCCAGCCACATACACCTAAGGTGATGGGTTCGAATCTAGCCTGGTCCTGCCAAAACAACAATGAAGGCTGCAACCAAAAAAAAATAGCCGGGCATTGTGGCAGGCGCCTGTGGTCCCAGCTACTTGGGAGGCTGAGGCAAGAGACTCGCTTGAGCCCAGGAGTTGGTGGTTGCTGTGAGCTGTGATGCCATAGCACTCTACCCAGGGTGACAGCTTGAGGCTCTGTCTCGAAGATTAGTTCCCAGAGAGGGAGTTCTTAGCATGGGAGCAGTGCTAATGGAGGGCAAGGGTAGCCTGGAGAATTTGAGGAAAAGAAGGCCAGGGCGTGGCTGCTGGTGGAAAGTAGGGTGCAGGATTGGGGATCTCAGGCTTCTGGCTGGTGTCCAAGTACATGGTGGGGTACTGCCCAGATGGAGGCTATGTGAGGTTGTCTGATGGAGAGGTCCAATGGAAAGAAAATGGCATCCGTTTGGAAATGTAAAGTCAGGATGCCTGGCCTTTCTGGAGCTGTCCTTCTTTCCCCTCCCCTATGGTCCAGTCCTTGACCATAGAGACTTTACCAACATGATTATCCATCCCCTGCCAGACTTTGCTCCAGACCCAAACTCTGAGCATTAGCCCCAGGAGCAGACTAAGAGAGGAAGATTAGGAGGCAGAGAGCAAGGCTGGTGGAGTGGTGAGGAAGCTGGGGCCCCACCAGGTTGGTCTGCCAGGGAAGCAAAGGTGGTGGCAGGACCATGTGAATCCCAGAGCCACCCCCCTCCCCACCACCAAGTCCTGGGTGGCCTTCTCTGCCCCTCTTCAGCTCCATGCCCTGGAGCACTTTGCTGTGGCTAGGGCTGTGCCTGGGTGGATGCTGAGGCTCTTCATCTCAGACTAAGCCCACAAAGCTGAGATGAGCCTCTCTCTGGCAGGGTATTTCCAAGCTTGTGTCTGTCACCAGAGAAGGAGCCTCCCCAGGGTCCCTCTGCTTCTTCAGCCTGTGGGCTGGCTCAGCTTGAAGGCAGCATCTGCCCATACGTGCAACAAGCAACCCCAGAGTCATGGTTCCAGGTGCCCCAGAACTTCGTCTTCCCCACCCTAGGTCTCTCGTCTCGCCCTGTCCGGCCTCCGCAACTGGACAACCGCAGCCTTGCCAAGTGCAGTGTTTGCCGCCCGCCACTTCCAGCCCTTCCTTCCCCCTCCAGGCCAGGAGCTGGGCGAACCATGGTGGATCATCCCCAGTGAGCTGAGTGTCTTTACCGGCTATTTGTCCAACAACCGTTTCTACCCACCACCACCCAAAGGCAAAGAGGTAAGGGCAGCTGTGATGGAACCTAGGGCCTCTGCCCCAGCCTTGAGGGGCCCCTCACTGTCTGTGCCTAGACCTAAGTGTCAGGCCTGCACCACTGGCTGTCCTGCCTCCCCCTGGACACGCCCTTCCCTCACCCGGGCTCAGCAGGGTCCAGCAGGCCAGCCCGGGTCTGCACTTCTGTCCTCTAGGTCATCATCCACCGGCTCCTGAGCATGTTCCACCCTCGGCCCTTCGTGAAGACCCGCTTTGCCCCTCAGGGGGCTGTGGCCTGCCTGACAGCCATCAGCGACTTCTACTACACTGTAATGTTCCGGTGAGGGTCCCTGCAGCCAGGCCTGGAACTTTTAGGACAGCATGGGGTGGGGGTGGGGTGGGGTGTTAGGGAGGGGCAGCATTGGGAGAGAGGGCCTAGCTTCAGGGCCCCAACTCTACCACTCCCTGGCCTGTAGTCTCAAGCAAGCAGCTTTGGCTCTCTGAGCCTCAGTTTCCTCATCTGTGTATCAGGGTGGTGATGACTTCAGTGAAAAAAGTTGTGCCTTGCAAGAGGCTGGTGGCTGTGATTGTGTCATCCCCACAGAAGGGGGCAAGGAGACAGATCATGCATGCTGGCTAGAAGCTATGGGAACTCAGGGGCGGGTTGAAGCAAAGCTTCCAGTGAAAGCAGCTGGGTTTGAAGGAAGAGTAGTGTTTGGAAGGCCCGGCATTTGCTCCCGGCCACACACTACCCTCACCTGCCCAGCCTTCCTGCTGCACAAGAGTCTGGCCAAGGGTTCCCAGGCTCTGGGGAAGAGGATAGGTAGCTCCAGCCCAGCAGATGCTCTTCCCTACAGAATCCATGCTGAATTCCAGCTCAGCGAGCCACCCGACTTCCCCTTTTGGTTCTCCCCTGGCCAGTTCACTGGCCACATCATCCTCTCCAAAGATGCCACCCATGTTCGTGACTTCCGGCTCTTCGTGCCCAACCACAGGTGAGAGCTTTGGCCTGGCCCAGTTTTAGCACCCTGCTGCAGTGTGCCCTGTCCCAGCTCCAGGGGCTCAGAATCAGGGCCTCGAAAGCTAACTGGGCATATACCCAGAAGGAGGCAGTGTGAGGTGAGCTGAAAGATCACCCCACCATCCACCCTGGGGCCTGGGGCAGCAGCCAGCAGTCTCTTGCTGAAGCTGCTGCCTTCCCACCACATACTGTTGCCAGACCCCAAACAGACACAACCACATCCTACTCATGCCACCGGCACACCAGCAGGGGAGCAGGGACCCTGTTGGTTGGAGTCCAAGAAGGCTTCCGAGAGGAAATGACATCTGAGGGAATGACCTGGGGGTGAGAAGGTTTACGCAGGCAGAGGGAACAGCACAAGCAAAGGCCTGCACTTCTACGGACCCTTGCAGGGGCTTCTGGGATGCTCTGTGCCAGCCCCTGGCCTGCCTATCTCACCTGCTCAGAGTTAGCCACCTGTCAGTGGAGCAGGGGATCTAGGAGGTTCTGGCTTCACATTTTTCCAGGTGCTTCCCTGATAGCCAGCGGCTGCCTAGCAGGCCTGAATGACTTCCGTACCCGGACAAGACCTGGGCTGGGAGCTGGGAGTCCCATTGTTAAGTCTCAGCCGTGGCACCAATGGGCTGCATGTCTGTGGGCAAAGCCCTGGCCCTCTCTGAGCCTCAGTTTCCTCATCTGCCAGCAGGGAGACTAACTCTTGGCCTTTTTCACCCACAGCAGCAGGGGATGGTTGAGATGGCCTGGGAAGACAAAGGCACGTCTGTCCCCAACCCAGGGTTGTTGGGTGGGAAATGGGGAGAGTGTCCTAGACTGGATGAGACAGGAGAGAGGCCATGACCAGCCCCAGGACTGCTAGCTGCTCCGGGCCTGTGAGGTAGAGGCAGTGGCAGTGGTTGATTGTCAGTCTTGGGGCTCCCCCGTGTGGCGAATTTTCAGATTGCATGGATCAGGCCAGACTTCCTGCGGTCCTGGAGGCTGGAGAGGGAGCTGTAGTGCAGGGCCAGGCTTTCACTCCTACCCCACTGTGTCCTGAGGCCAGGCATCGAGCATCTCTCTACCTCCAACGGTCAGGAGCAGTCTATGACAGTGGCTGTAACAGCCTTATGTGAACTAGAAGGGGCTGGGCCGGTGGAGGGTGATGTGGTTCCAGTGCTGCAGGAAGAGGCAGCTGGGAAGGAGAAAGTCCACCCAGGCTCTGAGAAGGTGGACTTACCTTGCAAAGCCTCACTGTTCTCATCTGTAAAATGGGGACAGTTGTGTGTGTTAAGGAAGATAAAGTAACATGGTTAATGGGCTTTGATGATGATGGTGCTCTGTCCTGGCTATCCCTAGGTCTCTGAATGTGGACATGGAGTGGCTGTATGGGGCCAGCGAAAGCAGCAACATGGAGGTGGACATTGGATACATACCCCAGGTAAGCACACAGGTGGTTCCTACCCAGGCGGGCCCAACTGCAGGACCCTACCCCTCCCTGGCCTCTACCTTCCCACCTCCACTATGATTGTCCATGCGGGTCTCTCGGGACCCCTTAAGGATTCGTGCTCATCTGAGGCATCCTTCACCACTGACCTCTGGCCCAGATGGAGCTGGAGGCCATAGGCCCCTCGGTGCCCTCCGTGATCCTGGACAAAGATGGCAATGTGATCAACAGCCACCTGCCCTCAGGGGAGCCCCTCCAGTTTGTGTTTGAGGAAATTGAGTGGCAGCAGGAGCTGAGCTGGGAGGAGGCCGCCCGACGCCTGGAGGTGGCCATGTACCCATTCAAGAAGGTGAGGCTGGGTGGCAGTGAAGGCCAGAGCCAGCCCCATGGGCTGAGGCTGGGGCTGTGGAGCAGCAGGTGGGCACAGGCCTGCAGCGTGTGTGGGGCTCGCTGCCGAGGTTGCCACACCAGAAGGCCAGCCTATACCATTGGAACCCCACCTCTGCCATCCCATAGCTTGGAGGAGGTGTCCCCCGGCTCAGCATTGCCTCCATGCACACACACACGTCCAAACTCACATACACACTCACCGCCTGAGCAGGACCCAGCCACACACAGTCGCTTCACTCTGTCTTGACTTGGCCCCAGGTCACCTACCTGCCGTTTACCGAGGCCTTCGACCGAGCCAAGGCTGAGAATAAGCTGGTACACTCGATCCTGCTGTGGGGGGCCCTGGACGACCAGTCCTGCTGAGGTGAGGGGCCCAGCCAGCTCTGAGGGGATGAGTTTTGGGAAACTCCATACTTTGTGGGGTATAGGAGGCTCTGAGACCAACAGGACTGTTTTGCTGGAGTCATGAGAAATGTGGGGCACTCAGGGCAGGGGCAGGGAGTGAGGTCTTGGGGGTTTCTGTGCTGAGCCAGAGGAAGCTTCTGGATGTAAAAGAAAGGGCCTTGGAAGATGGGGTTCAAACTCAGCCCTTTTTAAATTGGTGACTTTGGCCTAAGTAACTTCCCCTTCCCGAGCCTCAGTTTTCTCAGCAGTAAAAGAGAATGACAAACTTACCTCCCAGAGTTGTGATAATGGCTGTGAAAGAGGCTTGTACTCAAAGTGTTATCCACAAGTGAGAAAATAGTGCCAACATTCTCAGTGTGGCTACTTAAAATCCTTTTAATGAAAAAGGAAAAAAAATAGTACCAGAGGCTGGGATTACATTACCTTATTCAGAAAATTCACCAAATACCTGCTAAATGCAAAGTCTTTAGGTGTCTAGTAGTGGATATAAAGATGAGTAAAACAATGCCCCTGTCCTCACCTAGTCAATCAACAAACCTCCTGCACAACAGTAGGCTAGGCGCTGGTATCTCCTGCTAGAGAAGGGGGATGTCAGAAAGTTCCCTGCCCTCAGGGAGCACACAGTATAAGTCTAAAAAGCAGACATTGAATAAATACAAGCATGGTGAGTGTTACACAAGGCAAGGCGTGGAGTGGCATCAGAGTGTCCGACTGAGGGCTCAGGGAAGTCTTCTTAGAGTGACATTTAAGCTGAGACTTTGAAGGATGAGTAGGTTTGTCAGGTGATAGGAGGAAAAGTGTTCTGGGTAGAGGAACAGTCTATGCAAAGGCCCTGGAGCACAGAGGGTTCAAAGGACTTAAGAAGCTGTCACTGTCAGCTTTCTACTTCTCTTTGGACCAGGCAGAACCCCTACCCCTAACCTCCGCCCAGGATGCCAGTATATTATTGATACTAATTCCAACTAACATCTATTCAGCACCTACTCTGTGGCAGGCTCTTTGAATCTGTTACTTCACCTGAGTGCAGAGACCATTCTCTAGCCCAGGAGGTTCACCCACAGCAAGATGATTGTGAGGACTGAGGAGCCCCTAATGAGACCTTGGGAGCTCCTCACTCTTCTGGTCTTCTCTTCCTGACCAGGTTCCGGGCGGACTCTCCGGGAGACCGTCCTGGAAAGTTCGCCCATCCTCACCCTCCTCAATGAGAGTTTTATCAGCACCTGGTCCCTAGTGAAGGAGCTGGAGGACCTGCAGGTGAGGGGCTGGTGGGCAAGAACAACCCCATGGGAGACCCAGGTCACTGCTCAGGACCAAGGCCTCAGGAGTGTGCCAACTCTCCCCACAGAACAACCAGGACAACCCATCCCACAGGAAGCTGGCTAGCCTGCACCTGGAGAAATACAACTTCCCCGTGGAGATGATGATCTGCCTGCCCAATGGCACTGTGGTAGGCACCCCTCTGTCCAGGCACCAGGGGGGCCCAGGGAGCAGCAAGCCAGGCCTGGACATGCAGGCCATGTTGGGCTTCAGCTCTGCTCTGCCATATCCTGACTGTGTCTCCTGATCCAGCAGAGCCTCAGTTACTACCATCGTAAATGGGAATGGTGATGTAGGTGTCATACTCAGGGATTGTGCAGCCCTGAGCTTAGTCCAGTAGCAGGGTCAGCGCCCCATGCCCACCTCCACCTCTACCCTGTGCCACACACAGCCTCCAGGGACAGAAATGTGGCCTGGAAGGGAAGGCTCACGTCAGATCATCGCAGCCAGCCCTGGGATGGAAGGGGAAGGAGGAGACAGGCCTTGTGTCAGAGAGAACCAGGGGAGGGCCCTGGCTGAGCCAGGGTTCAAGGACCCATCTCTGCCCAAGGGCTCCCTACACGCCACTCACCATGTCCTCTCACCAGGGCCTTGCAGCAGCTTTGGGAGCTGGATGGTCATGAATGCCCCTTTCACAAGCAAGGAAAGTGGGACTCAAAAAAGGCTCAGACTTGGCAAAAGTTGCAGACAACTAAGAAGTGCAGTTGGCTGGGCGTGGTGTAATCCTAACACTCTAGGAAGTAACATGGTAAATCTAACACTCTAGGAAGCTGAGGTGGAGGATCATTTGAGCCCAGCAGTTGGAGGTTGCAGTGAGCTATGATGCCACTGCACTGTAGCCTTGGGCAGAAGAGCAAGACTCTGTCTCAGAAAACCTGGGCCTGCCCATGAGCCTCAGATCTCCAGCCCTTCTGATTGAAATTACCCCTTGTCCTTAAGTCCCAACACCTGGTTAGTGTGGGACACAAGACTGTGGAGGGTGGTCAGCTTCCTCAGGATCTCAGGGTGGATGCAGGTCAGGAGCAGCAGCTGGGGTTGGCCTGGAAGAGACTTCCCACAGGGCTTGTGGAGAAGAAAGGGCACCAGCAGGAGGCTTCTGCTGTCTGTGGCTCAGGGTGATGAGATGGTATCAGGGAACCCGGGAGGAATAGCCTGGGGGGCAGAGCTGGGCGCTGCACATACCTCCCGGTGCCCACTGTGGTTGAGCCAGGCCTAGGAGCAGGGGTCACAGAGATGGGCAGACAGGACTGCTCCTGGGGACTCTGTCAGACATGTTTTTTGACTCATCTGCTGATTTGTTTGCGTCTTCATTCACCCAGTTGTTCATTTACTGGCACTGACTCTGTGCCAGATAAAGACACAGCTCTGCCCCCACCCCCAGGTGCTCACTAGCTAAAACAAGGACAAAAGGGGCCCTAGCTCTGTAAAGTGTGCGGGCATTTTGATAGATGTGAGATGGGGGTCACAGTCACAGGGACAAAGGAGAGGTCATTTTGGAGGCCAGGGCAGAAAATGGAAACGGTGATGTTGGAAGGCAGTAGGCTTTTACCCAGTGGACAAGGAGGGGATGAGCACCTGAGTGCGAGTCCCAGCATGAACAAAGACAGGAGCGAGCAGCCCGGCCTGGGCTGGGTTCTGGTGCATGCTTGGAGCAGCACTACCTGTCTGTCCCTGCCTCCGGCTGAGGCTTGAGCATGGCTGCCTCTCTCAACACAAGCAGCCACAGAGCAGAGGGCACATAGCCTGGGGGGCCACCCGCCCTGCTTAACTCACCCAGCCCTTCTCCCAGGTCCATCACATCAATGCCAACTACTTCCTGGACATCACCTCAATGAAGCCTGAGGACATCGAGAAAAACATCTTCAGCTTCTCGTCCACCTTTGAAGATCCGTCCACAGCCACCTACATGCAGTTCCTGAAGGAGGGACTCCAGCGTGGCCTGCCCCTCCTCCAGACCTAGCGTGTCTGCTGGGCACTCTCATGGACAGGCCCTCACGCCCCAGGGCCAGAGTCGTCCTCAGCCCATTTCAGACTACAGACACTACCCTCTCCCACCCCACTCGTAGGCTGTCTGGTGGGGTCCAGAGTCAACTGAAGGTGGCCATCCTCGCTTTGCCTCCAGTGTGGTGGGTAGACAAGGAGGTGCCTGAGACTCTAGTTGCCACCACCACTCCTTTCCTACCCACCTTGCTTCAGAAGCTGCTTGGGACCCCATGCTAAACTGGGGCTGGGGTGATCTCCCTGGACCTTGCCCAGCCAGTCACATAGTTCAGGCCCTTGTAGGGTGAAGAATAGGAAGGCAGAGTGGGCTGGGAAGACAGAGTCACACCTTTCCTTGCTTTCACCCCCAAACCCACAAAGAAACATCAAGAGTCCTCAGCCAATGAGGGGTATAGGCTTCCAGAGCAGCACTCCTGTTTGTCTAGACTCTAGACCAGCAGTTCTCAACCTGTGGGTTGCAACTGAGCAGTGGTTCTCAACCTTCCTAATGCCGCGACCCTTTAATACAGTTCCTCATGTTGTGGTGACCCCCAACCATAAAATTGATAAATTGACACTTCATAACTGTAATTTTGCTACTATTATGAATCATAATGTAAATATGTGATATGCAGGATGTATTTTCATTGTTACAAAAGGGTTGTGACCCACAGGTTGAGAACCACTGGTCTAGAGCTTTCTTTCCTGGCCGTACCCTCCTGTGCCTGACGTCCACAGCTGGGGTCAGCCTGAGCTGGAGACAGACTTCTGAGCCTCTGGACAGAACCCTCCTTCAGAAGTAGAAATCATGTTGTCCCTTGCTGCTCCAGACCATGTCACTCACCTAAAAACAAGACTCTAGAACTGATGTCAGGAGTTGCTGAGTGCTGCTGTCTGGGGAAGTTTACTGTAAAGTAGATTTCTGCACTGAGAGGTGCCTGAGGCCCAGGGCCAGGGAACTCCACTGCCTGTCCCAGACCCTGGCTCCAGAAGAGTACAGCCCAGCCAAAAAACAAAGCCTCCTGTAGAACTGGTGCTGTCCGCTGGGGTGCCTCAAGCCTGCCCACGTATCATGGGTGTCTGTTGATTGTCCTGTGGGGCTTTGGTCCACATCCTGAGCCGCCAACTACAGCCAGTCTCTTTTTTTATACATGCAGAAAAGGTTTTTTACATGAACTTTCTTATAACTTCTAGGTATTTTTTATAACCCTCGTGCTGAGGAGAAAGAAGGGGGCAATGGCTTCCCCAGCAGCAGCCCCATGACAGCTGGATCCGAAATCCTAGATGGATCCAGCTTGATGTCTCTGCAGTTGCACAGATGGGAAGAAGTATTCCTCTCTTCCAGCTTTTAAAAAACAGCCCTCAGAGGATCAGTGTACCCGTATTGTACTTAAAGGACTCCATCCTGTCCTCCACTCAGCCCATGAGGCATCTTTGGATTTTTCTTTCTTTAAGGTCTTGAAGTGAGGCCTGCCCCCCCATACACCCAGTTCTCTCCCCAACCCCTCTGCCCACCAGGGGCTCACTCTTCAACCCACCAGAGGAAGAAGGAGGGTAGACATGTGTTGGACACTTGCTGGACTGCCCATCGGCTGAGTCCCCTGCCTGCCATGGGAGTGTCCACTAAGCCTCTTCTTTTTTTTTCTTTCAGCCAAAGCAAGTATTGTTCTCAATTTTGTGTCCAGTGTAATAAGAACAACCAGTTATCAAGAAGCCTTCTCTATCTGGGGCATGTCGCTAACACCACAAGTACTTTTTCATTTAGTCTTCACAACAAGCCTGTAAGGTGGATGCTATTAATTGTTCCCAGTTTGTAGATGAAGAAACTTGAGTCTCAGGAAAGTGAAGCGACTTGCCCAAGGTCACTCAGAGTGGCAGAGCTGAGATTCAAACCCACATGTGACTCTGAAGGCTGTGTCTTGATTTGGGGTCTGGTGTTTCCCTGAAGGTGGAGAGGAAAACCCGGATGTCCCATTCTCCTCTGATCTCCAGACCTAGTGGGGCATGAGCCAGTGAGGCCAGCCAGGTTCTGTGTCCTGCTGGGAGGCAGTGCTCCCACGCCCCTGCAGGAGAGAAGGCACCTGAGCCCTGATGTGCGCCTCCATCCTCTTGTCAGGCATGGGATCCTATGCCTTGAGCCTCCCACTCCAGCCTGCCCTTCTGCTCAGGGAAGAACTAGGGACAACTCCACATCAATGATGTAAGGCTCTGATTGCTTGGGCTTTCCGAATCTTCCTCTGATGCCTCTGCCTGGTCCTCATCATCCCTCAAGGCTCATGGTGGGACAGAGCCCCCAACTGCCCTCTTGTCACCCCTCTGCCACTTCCTTCCTCTGTCCTTAACATGTGCTATAATAAAACTAAAGAGACTAGAGTGGTTCTAAGTGCTTTTCCTTTGAGTGGGACATGGTTCAGTTCTGTCCTTCCAGGGTCTGCCTCTCTCCCTTGTTGGGATTGGCTTGGCAAATGGATGAGAGTTTGGTGGGGCATATTTGAGCTGGAATGCTTTGGGGGACTATCTTATCTGTCACTAAAGCGCTTGAGTGACTTGTCCAAAAAAAAAAAAATGTTTGTGATAGACCAAATAGGATGACTTATTATATTGACAGTCTAGTACTCTGTTAAGAAAAAATCCTTAAGTTAAACCCATGTCTTAGAAGCAGAGCCTGAAACAGGCATGGGGTTGTTTCTGTTTGTTTTGTTTGAGGAAGTGCACTTCAGAAAAAACCTGTAAAGGAGGATTGAAGCAGAAGAGGAAAAGGAAAAATGCTGAGTAGGGACAGTCTCAGCCTAGCCTTGGTCTGATCCACAGGGGAAGGGTGCTGGGCACAAACCACGCTGCAGGGTTGAACCAACTTTTTGTACCTTGAATCAACCAATCATTGGCTTGGGAGGTGAAGTATATCCCCAAGTTAGGGAGCTCTATTCTCCTTCCTGCATGGAGGTCTGGGTGGGGCACCAACAGCATCCTTACCCAGGAAAGACAGCTAGTATAGATGTGTATAGTCTGCCATTGCCTAGGAGGATGAGGTAATGATTAAAGCACTTTTTTTTTCCCCTGAGACAGTCTCACTCTTGTTGTCCTGAATAGAGTGCTATGGCATCATCGTAGCTCATGGCAACCTCAAGCTCTCAGATTTGAGCAATCCTCTTGCCTCAGCCTCCTGAGTAACTGGGACCACAGGTACCTGCCACAATGCCTGACTAGTTTTTCTATTTTTAGTACAGACGGTTCTCACTCGGTTCTCACTCTTGCTCAGGCTGGTCTTGAACTCCTGAGCTTGGGGAATTCGCCTGCCTCGACCTTCCAGAGTGCAAGGATTACAGGTGTGAGCCACCACACCCAGCCTAAAGCACAATTTACCTTCCTGGAAAGAGCTGGACCTGGAAGTCAACCTTTATCATTTGAAATGTGGGGAAAATCAGGCCGGATGACCTCTGAGGTCTTGACCAGGACCAAGAACATAATTGACAGGGCCTAGTGCAAAATGAAAATGCAGGATCTCTTGGTAAAAATTATTAATATTAATAATTTCAAGCAGGCAATAGCTGAGTATTAAACCAAATACAGGGTTCTCTGAGCATAGGGCCCATTGGGACTGCATGGGCTGTTCACTTGTGAGGCCAGCCTTGTCCCTGGCAGATAAGGATTACAGGCTTTTGGGCCCAAGGAACCACAGCCTGGGAGCAAGGCAGCTTGAGCTTGTGCTAAGGGTGGAGGAGGAAATGTAACCCAGGAACCGGATTCCATGGAGACCAGGACAGTGAGGGATTGAGCACAGAGTGGGTTAGTGAGCCTGGCAGGAATGTGGCTGTCTCCCACGCCATCTCTGTGGCCTTGCCCATCAGTCTACCCATCTAATCAACAAAGTCACTGAATATACTGTGTGTGTGTGAGAGAGAGAGAGAGAGGCTGAAAATAGAACACTACAAAGGGCTGCAGGGCAAGAATGAGAAGAAAGAGGCCCATTTTGCCAATTCTTGCTAGGGAGAGACTTTGTAGAAGGCCTTGGCTGGGAAGCGACTATGAAAGGGACAGGAGAGATGAGGCAAGATCAGGGCCAGATGCAAACATTGAGTACGAGGGTGGGGAGGTTCTGAATTTTGCAGTATGGGTAGCGGTAGTAGACATCGCATATTTAAAGGGCTGAGCAGTGACACAATCAGACCTCAGCTTCCAGAAGATATATGGGAGTAAATGTGGAGAGCAACAAGCGGGGGACACGATGAATCTGGTCAGGAAGCCCACCCAGACCAGACAACTCTTCCCAGCGGCTCAGACCTCCGTGGGGGAGTGGCCTCTACGAGATCCGCGCGCGCCCCTGGCAGCGCCGTGGTTGCGGCGTGGTCGCCCCGCCCCCAAGCCGGCCCACCTCTGCGGGGCGGGCGGGGACGCGGCTCGGTGCGCAGCTGCAAAGGATCACTTCCGGGGGGCGGGTCAGCGGAAGTGAGGGCGGCTGGGGCTGGGCGGCCCTCCTGTGGTAGGAGGGGCGGTGAGGTGAGAGATCCTGGAGCCCGAGGCTGAGGTGAGAAATGTTCGAGGGCCGCCTAGGAGGCGGGAGCGCTGCCTCCCCTCCTGGCTTTGCACAGTTCCTCGGTGTTAGGCGCTGGGCGGAGTCCGCGGCCCCTGTTCCGGTGGGAGCCGCTGTTGTCCGCCTTTTGGCTGAGGGGAAACTCAGTCCGGGAGGGGTAGTTGCTGGTCCAAGTCACCCACCAAACTGTCTGAGCCGCACCAGGGACTTCTCGTTTCGGCCTCGCTCCTCGACCGGCCGGTCTGCTGTGCCGCTCCTTCCGAGACGGCCCCGGCGCGGAGTCTCCCGCGCCCTCAGATCCCTGGCCTGTGGGCCCTAGGGCCGCTGAGCAGGAGGCGAGGACGTGACCGACCTTGGCCGGATCGGTCGTCTGTTGCGGAGGAGGAGGGGGGGCCCGTCCGGAGCCAAGTGTCCGCAGCGGCCTCCCCCGCGTGCCGCTTGGGCCCTCGCGGGGAGACTGTCAGCGCAGGGCTCGCACCGCGGGTGCGCTCGGCAAAGTTTCTCCGAGCGCGGCGGCCCCCGGGACGCGCGGTGCGGAGAGGAGGCCCTGCTGTCAAGGAGCTCGCAGTCTCCTAAGGGAGACGCGTGGAGACGGAGCATGACAACAGCCTCGTGGGGGGCTGTGGGGCGCAAGGGCGCTAAGAACCCACCAGTGCGGCCGGCGAACTGGGGGGAGAGCTTTCTCCTAGCACTGACACTTGGTGGGGGTTGTTTAAAAGGTAAATTGGTGCCCCCTCCTTTATGTCTTTAATTCGATGCGTTTAAGGGCTCACTATGGCCTAGGCGGACACGGTGCTGTGGATGGGGCGGGGCAGTCCCAGCCCTTCAGACAAAGGGCAGAGTACACAGTTACTTAGTTAGGATCAAGAGAGGGCTCTGAAGGACAGGCAGGATGCTGTGGGAGCACAGGAAAGGACCTGACCCTGTCACAGGGAGGGGAGGGGATGCTTGAGCTGAGCTCTGGAACGTTGGAGAATACACTCGGTGCGGGGAGTGCTGGTGTTCATAGCAGAGTGGACAGGGGCTCAGAGATGGTGTGTTGGGGGCTGAAGGAAGGCCAGGGTGGCTGGAGGGCAGAGAGCAAGGGGGACAGCAGAGGGCGTGGCTGCAGTGAGTTTGGCCTAGAAAGGGCAGAGAAAGATGAGTTTGGGCTTGATGGTGAAGGGCCGTGTAGGTCACGTTGAGGAATCTAGATTTTATCCTGGTGGCTCTAGCAAGCCAGTTTTATCATATGAGTGATATGATTAGCAATGTGTTTCGGAATGATCCCTCCAGCTGTTGTGTGAGTGTTAGGACCAACTGAGTCTTTTGGAAGTAAAGTTGGAGAGGAGGTGGCTGTAATGACCAAAGTACAAAGCATGTAGTAGGGCAGTGGCAGGCACTGACATTTAGCACACAGAGGGACTTTGATAAAAGGCTTGAACTGAGGTGAGAAGATGAGTACATGCAAGAGCAGACTTTCCGCTGGCATGACCACTGAATGACCTTAGACAAGTCCCTTCCTCTTTCCAGCCTCCTTTCCCTACAGTGTATCATAAAGTCCACTTCCTCTCCCAGGGGTGGAGAAGACTTTCCAAGCGAGATCTTCAGAAAGAGCTGCTTTGTCAGTCCAGTTCTTCCCCTGTTTAGAGCCCGCCTGAAGCTCCCTGGTGACTTCTCACCCAGGCATTCCTAGCCTTCGTGACTTGACCCCCAGTCTTTTGCAGCCTTATCCTATTCTGTTCCTCTTTATATCCCTCCTGTGCCTGTGTTGGACCTGTGCTCTTGCTCCTGCTTTTCTTCCCTTCCTGCTCCCTCTAAGTTTACCACAGGGCCTTGGGGCCAGAGGGCTGAACTCATTTGGCCACCTGCCTAGTGTCTCTGGGCATATAACTAGATGTGTTGATAGTCAGCATTTGCTGGGATTACGTAGTCATGTCGTATCTCTCAGCTGGATTATGAGTTCCTTGAGAGGATGACTGTGTCTTACCCCTTCCATAGACCCTACTGTGCCCAGCAAAGGGCCTGACACAAGTGGATATTGTTGGTGTTTGAGGGACAAGGGAACAGCTCACTGATTGCATCTGCTCACCATGCAAGGACAGCTGTAAAGAGTATAGTCAGGAGTGAATGATTCACCTGTGTCACATTTTTAATAGTTCATCGAGCACTTCAAAATCTCTTGTTTCACCCACTGACCCTTAAGGTAACCTAGAGTGGCAGCTTTTCTTGTCCCCTTTTTGCAGACGGAGAAGCCAACATTCAGAAAGCCTGTTGGTGGCTGAGCCAGGATAAAACTTTTTGGCTGTTTTTCCTTGTAGCCCAGTTTACTGAGAATGGCATGAGCCGGCCATTTGTTCTCTGATCTCTCCTTGCAAGAGCCGAGCAGTGCTAGGCTGGTGGCACATGCTGTGCTTTTACATCTCATCTTCAGAATGAATTCTGAGCTTGGATGGTACCTACCATTTGGCTTTCACATGTGCTTTGTAGCTACCAAAGTGTACTGTTTACAGCTTTAGAAATTTTGCCTCAGTAAACCTTAGGGCCCAGAAAGGGTCCCTGGGCCCGCCAGGTTCACCCAGCAAGCCTGGAACAGAACCTTTAAGACTCTGGACTGGTTTTCTCCCCTGTGACACTTGAGAGAACCCTTGGTGTCAGTCATGGCTCTGTGAGGCCCGGTTTTGTGGAACTTGTGTGGTGACCATTCTGTCCCCACTGTGGGGGTTGTTTTATAGGAAGGAAAATCTGGTGTTCCTCTAGATGGCCTGATATGAAGGACTCACGCCTCACGCCTCCTGGAGCTGCAACTGCCTTGTCCTTCAAGTGCAGGAGCTGGTTGAAATGTCAGGAATGGAAGCCAATGTGGTAAGGGGCATTCCCTGGGCAGTGGTATGGTGGAGAAGGTTGGGTGTGCTGAAATATAATATATGATCTGAGACTCTCCAGTTAATTCTTCCTTTCCTGAGGCCTGGAATTGGAATGGGGCTGCCCTCCCACCGTCTACCCCCAGGAAGAACCAACCATGGTCTTGGGGCACTTCAGGAGTGTTTTATTTAGCCTTTCTGTACAGAGGGAGGGAAGAAAAGCCTGTACGATTCCTATACCCACCCAGTTCCTCACCCTTTCACTAGGTCCTCCCAACATTGCCTTAGCAGCAGGAGGTATCTTCTTAGACTTGATTTCCCCGCCCTGAGAGTGTTCTGTCCCTAGGATTGGGGAATTAAGTCTCGGCTAGAGGAGAGGATAGTAGTTGGACTCTTTGTCTCTCAGGTTATGGCTGTTTGTCTGTCTTTGCTCTAGACCATCCCAATCTGGCAAAACAAGCCACATGGGGCTGCTCGAAGTGTAGTGAGAAGAATCGGAACCAACTTACCCCTGAAGCCATGTCCCCGGGCATCCTTTGAGGTGAGTATACTAGGAGGGCAAGGTAGAGGCTCAGAGTCTGACAGGGACAGTGCTGCTTCTGTGCCTTGGACCCCTTAGCGTTGCCAAGATAAGTTGTTTCTGGTCATTATTTTATTTTGTTAAGAAATGTTCAAGTGCTTATAATGGATCCTGGTCACTGTGTTTCCCTAATTGCATATAAACCTGTGATCACAACAGTCATACTTTCAATTTGCTCATAAATTATTAGTCTTGCATCTTTGTTCCTCTGCTAAGTGACTGATTTCATCAGGCTATAGCAATCCAGTTAATCAGAGCAGGCCAATGGCCCTTGCTGAACCAGATCTCCAGACTAGTTTTGTTCTTTTTTTTTTTTTTTTTTTTTAAGTGAAGTGATCCACTGCTAAGATCCAGAATAATTTTGTCTGTGCTCTGGTATTTGCTTCAACCAGGTTCCCATTTGGTACACTGACTATTGGGACTCTTGAATTAAAAACTTTGCTTTTCTTTACTAGCTCTAAGAGTTGGTCACTTAGCTACTACTTTTAGATTTCCTCTGAGACCCTAATTCCTTAGCTTTCTCTTTCTGGCCAATCTGGCTGCTGCTTTGCTGGGCTACTTCAGTCTTGCCTCTGTGTCTAGGGATCCTTTAGCACCAAGGTGCAGCAGAGATTCCTGCCTGTTTCAAGTCTCAGACCGTTTTCTGTAATGGAAAGCTAAGTAGCAGCTGTTAGTCTCAGCTGCTTCCCTCTAGGAACTAATGGTTAAAGAGCAGCTTTAGGGCAGTGCCTGTGGCTCAGTGGGTAGGGCGCTGACCCCATGTTTCAAGGGTGGCAGGTTTGAACCCGGCCCCGGCCAAACTGCAACAAAAAAATAGCCAGGTGTTGTGGCAGGCACCTGTGGTCCCAGCTACTTGGGAGGCTGGGGCAGGAGAATGGCCTAAGCCTAGGAGTTGGAGGCTGCTATGAGCTGTGTGATGCCACAGCACTCTACCAAGGGCGATAGAGTGAGACTCTGCCTCTACAAAAAAAAAATAAATAAATAAAGAGCAGCTCTGGGGGGGGGATGGTTAAGATCTATCTGTCTTTGGGGAGCTGGGACATGAAGAAGTACTTCTGCTTTCTGTCTACACAAAGAATGTGGACTCTGGTAGAAACAGAAATGAATGAGCTGAATTTGAGTATCAGATGCTGAACTGCAAAGTCTGTGTAGAAATCCGATCTAGATTAGGTGTCAGGGTTTGGTAATAGAGTCAGAAATGGGACTGGAGGTCTTTGGGGAGTAGAGTTGGGAAGAGCTGGTCCATGACCCAGATTCCCAGTTATTCAGAATTGCCTAAAAGGCCTGGGCAAGATACGGTGCTAATGGCCTCAGTAGCCTCAAAAATAAAGGGAAAGTGGGAGGCCAAGGTGAGTGGATTGCCTTATCTCAGGAGTTCGAGACCAACCTGAGCAAGAGTGAGACCCCATCTCTAAAAATTACCCGGGTGTTGTGGCAGGCGCCGTTAGTCCCAGCTACAAGACCGAGTAAGAGAATCACTTGACCCAAGAGTTTGAGGTTGCTGTGAGCTATGATGCCAGGACGCTCTATCGAGGGCAACAAAGTCAGACTTTGTCTCAAAAAAATTTAAAATAAGATAAAGGGAAAGATGACTAGGGAGTGTGACTGAGTCCTTGGAGGTTGCCCCTACCCTTTCTATACCTTTGGGCAGATTGTCAGAGACAGAGACAACAATCAAAGGTACAGGTTCCCATGGAGCCAGTATGTGTGATTAGTAGTTGTAATACTAACATTTACTAAACACATACTGTGTGTCAGGCACTGTGCTAAGTACTTGATATGTGTTAACTCATCTAATTGCCAGGTGTAAAGGAGCATTCAGAGCTAATCCAGGAAAGTAAATGGAGGCTTCTCCTTTAGGCCCATCTTAGCAGTAGCTCCTGGGTCAGTGGAAGTCCTCCTCTGGGTGACCCTGGCTTATCTGTCACTTAACTACTAAATCCAAGAACTATTAACCCTTGATCCATTTACTAATTTGTAGAGACAGACAGATTTAACTCATGTGTAGGTCTACATTTATTATTAACTTAATAACTCTAAATTTCTGTTGTAAATTACCTTAAATTTTATTTAAGGGAATCTTATTTTTAAAATTTAACCTTATAAAAAATTAAATTATGGAAAGTTGAAGAGAATACCTATAATGACAAATGTCATTACAAAATAACTGTTAATGTCTTGGTATAGTTCCTTTCTTTTTCCACTCATAGGTGCTTTTCACTTTATTGTAATTACAGTCAACATATGGTTGAATGTTCCTAATTTTTCATTTAACCTGGTGCCATTTATACAACATCTCTAGTCTTTGGTTATTCACATGGCTTGAGGATTATTTTAAGAAATCCTATTACGGGGCCAGGTACATGGGCTAATGCCTGTAATCCTAGCACTCTGGGAGGCCAAGGTGGGTAGATTGCCTGAACTCAGGAGTTCAAGACCAGCCTGAGCAAGAGCTAGACCGTTCCTACTGAAAATAGAAAAAACTAGCTAGGCATAGTGGCGGGTACTGGTAGTACCAGAAACTCAGGAGGCTGAGGCAGGAGAATCACGTGAACCTAAGATTTTGAGGTTGTTATAAGCTACGATGATGCCACGGCACTCTACCAGGGCAGCAGAGTTAAGACTCTGTCTCAAAAAAAAAGAAAAAAGAAATCCTATGATGGTTCCTTTTGTATAAATATTTCTTCCCGGCTCGGTGCCTATGGCTCAAGTGGCTAAGGTGCCAGCCACATACACCTAAGGTGGCAGGTTCGAATCCAGCCTGGGCCCGCCAAATAACAATGACAGCTGCAACCAAAAAATAGCTGGGCGTTGTGGCGGGCGCCTGTAGTCCCAGCTACTTGGGAGGCTGAGGCAGGAGACTCGCTTGAGCCCAGGAGTTGGAGGTTGCTGTGAGCTGTGATACCACGGCACTCTACCCAGGGGGACAGCTTGAGGCTCTGTCTCAAAAAAAAAAAAATTTAAATATCTCTTCCTATTTAGATATATTTGATTTACCAGGTTTGCTTAAAACAACATTCTTGTAACATTGTAGATCCCAATTAGCTATAAAGAAGTTACAAATAGCTAGTCAAGAAAAATTTCCTGTTGCTGTAACAGGTTTTGATGATCTTGCACCTATTTCTTACCAAAGAGTAGAGTGGTTTTATACAGTGGTCATCTCCATTAAGAAATAACTCCGACTTAAGACCCTGAACTATTTGTAATCCCACAGACTCCTGTGCATTTGGCCTCTTAATGTATTTCTAACCAACAACCTTCAACTCCTCCCTAGCAAGCTTTCCTGACAGCCAGTGTTGGATTAGATAGCCTTCCTATGTATTATGCAGTTTCTGATTGGCATCATGGTGTCAAGTAAATGTTGATAAAACATCATCATGGTGTCAAGTAAATGTTTGTTGATAAATTTTGCTTCCCCATAGACCCTGCCCAACATCTCGGACCTGTGTTTGAAAGATGTGCCCCCAGTCCCCACCCTGGCTGACATTGCCTGGATTGCTGCGGATGAAGAGGAGACGTATGCCCGGGTCAGGTAGCTGAAGCAGTAGGGAAACTGGGAGCTTCTTCCCAGAAGAGGTAGCAGGCAGCAAGAAGGGTGCTTGGGAGAGGCTGAGGGCAATAGAAATGAAAGCTGTGGGCTCAGAGGGAAGCATAACCTGAGTATCTTATTGTAGTCAGAGTAGGGTAAGGAATTTTAGAGGGGTATTGTGGTCTGTTGTCCTTGTCCCTGACTGACATACTTGTCTTTCTCGGGTCCAGGAGTGATACACGCCCTCTGAGGCATACCTGGAAGCCCAGCCCCCTGATTGTCATGCAGCGCAATGCCTCAGTGCCCAACTTGCGTGGATCAGAAGAAAGACTTCTGGCCCTGAAGAAGCCAGCCCTGCCAGCCCTAAGCCGTACCACTGAGCTGCAGGATGAGCTGAGCCACCTGCGCAGCCAGATTGCCAAGATAGTGGCAGCTGATGCAGGTAAGAGCCCCTGAGTGGTACCAGAATATAGCAGGCTGTCCCTTCACCCCTGGCTTTTGGGACTAGGGATGGGCCCAGGGCTGTGGGAATTCCTTGAGCCTTGGCTAGACTGTAGTACACTTAGATGGTCTTTACCAGCCATTTTGGGCTGAATGGTTTGGTTAGGAACAAAATCTTAACTTACGCTCTCAGGCAGATTCCCTCCCTTAGCCACAAACCCTCTCTTCCATGTGTCTCTAAGATCACATATTCCATAAGCCCAAAGCAGCTTTCCTTTTCAATGTGAGAAACGGCATTCACTACTGCCACCACTGCTAAGAGACATATCCCCCATTAATACCTATTTTCCCTTTTCTTGTCCTTTCTACCAGAGATCATCTATTCCTCCACCTTTCTGTCTGCAGTTAAGTCAGAGCCACTAGAATTGATGGGAGCCTGCCTTGATCAGAGGATAACAGCCAATAGATGGATCTTTTCCCAAGATGCTCAGGATTTATCCTCATATTCCTCCCATCCTTATTTTTTCTACTTCTCATTGACATAAAGTCAGAGCTTCCAAACTTAATCATTTGGTAGCACATGAAAATCATGGTGTTCTCTTTGAAATCTTCACTTATTTAATTTTCTCATATGGAAGGGGTTTGTTTTGTTTCGTATTTTTGAGACAGTCTCACTCTGTCACCCTGGCTAAAGTACCATGGCATCATAGCTCACAGAAACCTCAAACTCTTGGGTTTGAGTGATCCTCTTGCCTCAGTCTCACAAGAAGCTGGGACTAAAGGCGTGCCAGTATGCCCAGCTAGTGTTTTCTATTTTTAGAAGAGATGGGGTCTCTTGCTCAGGCTGGTCTCAAACTCCAGAGCTCAAGCAATCCATCTGTCTTGGCCTCCCAGAGTGCTAGGATTACAGGCATGAGCCACCACACATGACCTCTCACATGGAAGTTTTATAGAATTATACTGAAATTTTCCATTTATATTTCTTGGCTACCTTTTTTGTCATTGAAGAGACAAGCAGAAGTGGTTTATAAAAACTTATGGAGTGGTTTATAAAAACTTATAGAAATTGAGGAAATTCTCCCCACTTAAATTTGGTACACTCAGAGGACTGTAATTATTCCAGTTTTGCTTAGAACTCTTTTTTTAGTTCATAGATAAGAAGATTCAGAGGAGCATAGTCAAAAGCACCAGCCCAGTTGGAGAAAGGGATACATTTACGCCTTGACTTTGTCACTGTTGCTTCAGCTTAAGACAGGGCTGTCACTGCATGCCTACTGTGAAATGGAGCTTTTAGGAGCCAAGGCCTTTGAGAGCTGGGTTTTTCTGCCCTCCTAGGACACTGAAAAGGCCCAGTGCTTCTGTTACCTGAGCCCCTGAGTGAGAAGCATAGGGGAGGGACCCTCCACTGGCTAGAGATCCAATAATCCTGGCTGTTGCGGGATGTCTTGGTGTCAACCCAGGAAATCAATGTTTGGTAGATGGTGCTATGGGAAGAAGATACTGCTGCTGTATTCTAGTCCCAATGTCCATCCATGCCTATTGTTTTCTCTTTCAGCTTCGACTTCATTAACGCCAGATTTCTTATCTCCAGGAAGTTCAAATGTCTCTTCTCCCTTACCTTGTTTTGGATCCTCATTCCACTCTACAACTTCCTTTGTCATTAGTGACATCACCGAGGAGACAGAGGTAGAGGTCCCTGAGCTTCCATCAGTCCCCCTGCTTTCTTCTGCCAGCCCTGAATGTTACAAACCAGAACACAAAGCTACCTGCAGCTCGTCTGAAGAGGATGACTGCGTCTCTCTGTCCAAAGCCAGCAGCTTTGCAGACATGATGGGTATCCTGAAGGACTTTCACCGGATGAAACAGAGCCAAGATTTGTAAGTATTTCATGAGCTCTGGTGATCTATTTACTTTTTAAGTTGCTCATGGCCAATGATGTAATACAACATAATTACATAGTTAAGTCCTCAGTAGTAGCCATTTCACGTAATTCTCAAAGCTTGTTGATGACCTGCTTGCTAGTGTTGCTTTCCGTTTGAGGAAAGAGCAACAGTTCACATTTGTTGGGCTAGGTCACCCCAACCAAATGTTAAACTTTTAGGGATTTTTTTTTTTTTTAAGATACAGTCTTACTTTTTTGCCCTTTGGTAGAGTGCCATGGTGTCACTCCTCACAGCAACCTCCTGGGCTTAGGCGATTCTCTTCCCTCAGCCTCCCAAGTAGCTGAGACTACAGGCGCCCGCCACAACCTGGTTTTGGGGTTTTTTTTGTTGTTTTTGCAGTTTCTCACCGGGGCTAGGTTTGAACCCGCCATTTCCAGCATATGGGGCCGGTGCCCTACTCCTTTGAGCCACAGGCGCCACCCATGCCTGGTTATTTTTTTGTTGCAGTTTGGCTGGGTTCAAACCTGCCATCCTTGGTATATGGGGCCAGCACCCTACCCACTGAGCCACAGGCGCTGCCCACTGTTAGGGATTTCATAACAGTTCTCATCCAATCCAACTTTTGTCCACAGTTACTTTTACCACTCCATTTGTCATACTGCTAGTAACAGTGTCTGGAGGGTTACATGACATATTTTGGTATCTCAAAATTGGTAGTCTTCTTTATAAAATTGGGGATTTCTGCTTTGAAATACAGTGATCTGGCTCAGCACCTGTTACTCAGTGAGTAAGGTGCTGGCCACATACAACGAGTCTGCCAGGTTTGAGCCTAGCCCAGGCCTGCTAAACAACAGCTGTAACCAAAAAATATCCGGGTGTTGTGGTGGGTGCCTATAGTCCCAGCTACTTAGG